GATCTGTTCTTTGTATGTATGCTGAAACCCTTGTCAGCTCAGATTAAGGTTGATAATCTTGAAATCCAAGCAGCAAAAGTAAGTACCTCTCCTTACTGATGTGTGTAAGTTAGCTTCACATTATTCATTCTTGCATCAATAATTGTGAAAATTTTGGAAACGAATTCCTCTGTCTGATCAAAGATATAATTGAATCCACAGAAGCTATGGCTTATTTGTCTCATGCATCAACAATATTCTGTCTGGCCTGAAGGTGATTCATTATAATCACAATGATCACACAGTGCTAGCTTGTTCTTTTAGCCGGCCAAATGACCATATGACCATAGGACCTACACAGTGCTAGCTTGTTCTTTTAGCCGGCCAAACTCCTCTCATAGCTAGCCACTGCCCCCCTGTTATGTGGGGGTTTCGTGTTTTTTTTTTTAATATTATTATTGTTTTAAAAAATCGTATTTTTTTAATTTTAAATTTATTATTCTCTGTTTGTGTGGGTCTTTATTGATGATATTTTTAAATTTTTTATAAGATTTTATTGTATTGATAATATATATAAAAAGTAGTCATCTCACTTCAATATTTCAATAAGATGACATCTTGGGATCAACGAAGAGTACTGGAAATTGAAGCTGAGCTAGGAGTTTTTCCGTGGATTTACAATAATGGATTTTAATTGCAAATTTATTAACACCGACTATAGTCTCTAAATCTCCTTAATTTTCTTGTGTTTTCATCCTGCAGTGGATGCCCCTTGTTGAGTTTGTTGCGCAGCCACTAATCCAAGAAGACGGATTGTTCAAGAAAATCGTTGATATTTGCATTGCTCAGTTAGGGAAACGTTACTGTGGATTATTACCTCGCCAAGTAGTTTCCAAATTTGATGGCAGGCCATCCTGCCTATACTACAATGTTCTTGACACTGGAAATGTCAGCTGCAACGGCAATTGAAGCCATTTCACAATTCTTAACATCCCTTGCCTGTCTTTTCCTGGAAAGCCTCTGGTATTTCCGCTTTGAAGCACGCAACGGTAGCAACTGCAGTGTAAGCATAAGAGGCTCGACAAGTTAAAGAGTAAGGCACTAAACATGGAGTCTTACGTTTATTATACCTGATGGATTGTAACATATAGCTTCAAATATCTTTGATTGTAAATATATGTTCGTCTAGTAGAACGTGGTTATTGTAAATGTGTGAAGTCACCAGTTCTTCTGTTACTAATGGATTTTCATGTATAATTTCTCTTAGCAAGTAGCTAATCTGCCTTGTTATGGCATTAAATTTACTAGCTGCGTTTGTATTCGTTGTGATTTCCCTGCTAACCAATGGAGCATCATTTTGTGTAAATTTAACGAACTAAAGTTATCCGAGAAATGGAGCAGAGCCGTTCTGTTGCATCATAGTTAAGCTGCTTATTGCTTCTGTGTTTGGTGCAAGCAGTTTGCACATGAAAGAAATACTTCGCTATAGTTAACAAGATTCTTCCTATGAAAATAGATTGCATAACGCATATCAAAGGCCATAATGTATGCAGAAAGCACAAGATTGTGGTTAGGTGCTTTGGTTGGTCACCTGCACAAGAACCCAGTAAGCTCATTTCATAGCTACAATACTAGCTTTTTGGCCCGGCGCTCAGCCTCGGACTGGCTCTTTTTTTATTTTTTCAAGCCTAAAAAAAATACTAAAACATTAAGAAGTTAAAAACTTGATGCATATAAAATGCTTAAATAGTGACATATCAAATAATTAAAAATAATATTAAAACTACTATATATTGAATTGTTTATGTAAAATCCATAATTTAAGGTATAAGATTGTGATAAAACTATGAACCCACATCGAAAAAAATGAAAAAGTCCAATCATAATGAACCAAATATAAAAAGCTAAAAAATAAAAATAAAAAAAAAACAAAAAATAACTCAAATAAATTTATGTTGATGGCTAGCGCAACGTCATAGACCATGCTAAATTTTTTCAGAAAAACAAAGCTAAGGCAACACTAGAACATCTAATAAAGTAAAAGAAATTCATGACTCGAGTCATTGAGTCTATTAGGTTCAATAAATTCAGTTAATTTAATAACATAAAAAAATACTAATTTAATTTTTTAAAATTATAAACTATGAAATCTCATATTCAGACTTAATGAATAAGCTAAAAAGAAAAAAAAAATATCAACTCATGTTAACCTATTAAGTTTGTAACCCAAGTCATTTGATTATAAGTATTAAATTTAAAAACCTTGAAGCTTAATCTTCAACTAATTAAATGTTAAAAAATAAATTTGAAAAAAAACACTTAATTATATAAAAAAACAAATTTTTTTAGCAATTATAAGGCATCAAAAGGCTCGAGCCCCCTCGAGTCAACATGTGAAATCCACATATTAGATTATGATATCAACCTGATAGAAAAGAAAATGAAAAAAATCATTAAATCCAATGTTTTAGAAAAATCATTGTTAGCTTATAAAATTCATGGCACGGACTATTTGACTGGAAGCATCAAATATAAAAAAAAATATGAAACTCAATTATCAATAAATCAAATATTGAAAATGAATTTTGTTTTTTAAATCAACCATATAAAAGAATCCAAATGAAAAAAGAGTAATTAAAAACAAAAAAAAAGTGAGTACACTCAAGTTAATCTATCAAATCTACAAGTCAAATTATGAAATTAGGATAACCTGATAGAAAAAAATAAAAAAAACCATGAAACCTATTTTGTAAAAAAAAAAAGCTAATGTTCCTAAGATCAAAAAAGAAAATAAGGTAAAAAAAAAAAAGATATCAACCTGTGTTAATTTTTAAAACCTGTAATACTAGTCATTTAATTAGAAATATCAAATTTAAAAAATTAAAAAGTTTAATTTTTAATAAATCAAATAAAAAAAGAAGTTAAAAAAATTATACAAAAAATCCAAAAGAAACTTAATTACATTTTTTTCACTCAAAGAAGAAAGAAAGAAAGGAAAAAAGAAGCTCTATCTCCGCGGTTCATTTTAACCACCTCTTCCTGACAAGAAACAAACAATAGAAATTAAATGTCGGTTTGGTGACAAATGGACAAAATTTTACAATCCAAATTCCAGCCACCATTTCCCACTCCACGGGGCAAAGTTAGGCAATGCCATGAGTGATGCCTGACAATGATATGCTCGTGCCAAAGAAGGCATGGCCCCAAAGCCAGAAGAGGGCTCACAGCTTTCATTCTCTTATCATTCCATCTTCCAGCATGGTTACTTCCTTTTTAAGCTGTTTCATTCGTTCAATGGCTCAGAGGTTGACACATTGCTTCTTGCTCTGCTAGTTGCTGCATGTCTTCCCCAAGACGTCCGATGAGGCAGTCATGGGAGGGAGATTGAATATTATGAAATTTCAATAATTTTATAAAAATTAAATTAAAATAAATTATAAAATTTAATTCTCAATCTATTTAATATTGAAAAGACACAATTAAAAAATAACCTAAAAAACAACTAGAGTTCACCTGGTTGTCATGACCTTGGTTATAAGATCGACACAACTCTATAAAAAACAAATCAAAATAAATAATAAAGTTGAATTCTTAATTAGTCTAATGTTGAAAAATAAAATTAAAAAATAAATAAATTAAAAAAAAATATAAAAAACAATATGATTCAATTTGTCAAACTCATAATCCAGGTTATGATACTGAGATAAACTAATAAAAAGAAAATAAAAAATAAATCGATTCAACTCGATTTAATCTGTTAAATCCATGATTCTTTTCAGATGACTGAGATAATCTTATAAAGAGAAAATTAAAACAAATTATAAATTTTAATTCTTAATCGACCATATCAGACCCATTGTTGAACGATGGAATTTGTAAAAATTAAAATTATAAAAACAACACAAAAATTAGTCAATTCAATCTAGGTTACCTCATTAAGTACTATTTTCGGATTATGAGACTACAATAATCTAATAAAAAGTAAATTATAATAAATCATGAAATTTAATTCTCAATCAAATACAATATTAATTGATAAAATTTGAAAAAAAAAAGTCAATTAAGAAAAGAAAAAAGATGAAGTCAACTGAATTAATTTGTTAAACCTATGACTTGGATCAAGAGATAGAAACAACCCAATAAAAAACAAATTCAATATTGAAGGACTCGAGAATCGAGTCATGAAACCGATATAATAAAAAAAATAAAAAAACAACCCGATTTAACCGGGGTTAAAATGCCAAAACCCGCTAACCTGATCATGAGACCAAGATATCCCTATAGAAATCAAATCAAAATAAATTATGAAACTCGATTTTTAATTGATTTAATATTGAATAATAAAATTAAAAAAATCAATTAAAAAAACACAAAAGACAAGCTGGATCAATGCGGGCTAATCATTTAAGCATTATTCTCATGTCATGATGCTAAAATAATAAAAAGCAAACAAAATAAATTATAAAATCTAATTCTCAATCAACTCAATATTAAAAAATAAAATTAAAAAATTAATTAGATCTACATCATAAAAATAAAATAATTTAATAAAAATAAAATTTAAATAATAAAAAAAGAAAAAAACTATTTCAATTAACTAATAAATAGTGCTTTAAAAAAAATATACAGTAAAAGAACCCTTTTTTTTGGGTTAATAATAATTAATGATTGAATTTAATTAATGCTGTGAAGTCAATAATGACAAACATGTTTGGCATGTAGCTAGAAGAGTTTTGAGATCAATTTAATTGGCGTTAGTGAACTATTAGTTTGGAAGGTAGAAAGATAAGACCTATTTTTAACTTTATTTTACCTGTCCTTGGGTCTGTCTTTTGGGTCCCTGTGAAACTGATCATGCATCTCTTTTGGCCTGTGCGCTCATATATACAGAGTTAAGGAATGTTTTTGGTTTTTTTAAATGAAGGTAGGAGACACTGCTAATCATAATTAATTAATGAATTAACTCATAATAATAATAATAAATAAATAACTAACTTTAATTAAATAGAAGCTCTAATCATTCAGGCCAGCTCCTTTTCTTTCCTCCCTGGAAAATCAAGAACAGCCCCTGCCTCCCACTTTCCGATCCGAGAGAGTCATTTTCCAAAATAATCATCTCTCGTAAGCTCTCTGTTTCTCCCTGCCTGTGCTTTTATATATATATGAACACTGCTGTCTCTTTCTTTCTTCCCCTCCTTCTGTTACAATTGAATTCTTTTCTAATAGTTTTTTTGTAGTTTCAATTTTTGCTAGGGTTTGGTTGCTTCTATTACTTGCACATAACTCTCTCGTTATATCCTCTGTTTGGCTGGTTGCCGAGAAAATGCAAGAAAGAGTTAAAAACTAAGCACTCCAACTTTTCACAGCAACCAAACAGCTTGATTAACCTTTTTTCTCTCGCTTCAATTTCTTGTAATTTTTGTGTTATTCTGTTTTTTTAGGACTCTATTGAATTGGTTTAGAGGATGGTGAGTTTGTGATAGAGAAAATCTGGACTGTAAATTGAAGAATCGTGGATTGCAAACAATGCGGTTGTTTCCTTTGAGTTCAAGTTCAAGCTCAAGCTCGGAGAAGGAGCAGAGTATTGGAGGGAGCAGTCGCGTGATGCTGTATCTTAACATCTATGATCTTACACCTATAAATAACTACCTTTATTGGTTTGGCCTCGGGATCTTCCATTCCGGTATTGAAGGTAATTAATTGAATGTTAATAGATGATAGACTTATTTTGTTTTCTTTTTTGCTGCTTAATGTGCATGATTTTGGCATTTCTAGTTGAATTTTGCTTGGTGAGAGTATTCTTGGTTGTGGACTTTTGGCATGATAGTTGTGCATTAATAGAAACTCCAAATGATAATCATTGTTCCACCCGCGTAGGTAGATTTTTTTTTTTTTTTTTTGCTTTTGGTAACAGGGTATGTTAGGGTAAAAATTCTATTTCTGGAGACTATTTAAGGTAGACTGAAGCTCATGATGAGGGAATCACGTGTCAGAAGAATTTGGCATTTTTAAAGGATTAAGACTAGAAGGTTTGCGTTTGCAATAGGGCAGATCACAGAAGAATAAAGTATTCTTGCAAATAAGAGTCTATGATATCTTGAGACACGAACAAATGCATCACTATGATGCATTGTCGCATTTATCACCATCAAGCCTTTTTTTCCGATCAATATGAATTGGATATGGAGCGTTGAGATGCAATATGCAGTCACACAGTGGCTAAGATGGCATCTACTTCTCAAAGTAATCAACGGAATCTCTTGTTTAGTTAATTCAAAAGAGTTATTGCTTAAAAATAATGTAAAGTATCTATCTTTACAGATGCAGATTGAATAATTCCTGTCTCATTGGTAGGATAAATTCAGTATCCAAAATTTCCTATAATCACCGTGCACATGTGACAGCTTATTTCATTCTTCACTAAATTAAATCTAGAAGGAGCAAGGAGCATATTTATGCTAGTTTATTTCCTTCCACGGTCCACAAGTTCACAAACTGTTAGAGTGGTAGTTCCAAATTGGCAAAAACTATGAGAAGGAAAGATGA